TATATCATCCTGGCAAAGCGGGATCATAAAAACAGCCCCTTATTCAGCAAATTGTGCATGCTGCCTTTGACCCCTTGGGGGTGAGGCAGCACTTTCCTTGCGATAGTAACTTCTAGTTTATCATATGTTTTTTATCCCGAATATAATTTTATCATATAATTAATAATTTTATCAGTAATATAGTATAGCTCAGTGCTTCAAAGCTTCCGACGTAAGTGGCCCTTCTGTGTGGATCTTTATTCTGTGGTTCCGATTCGACGTTGCCTGCGAACAGGCTCTGTAGAATCGATTGACGGAATAAATAATAGCACACGCCTCTCACCGAAAACCTCGCCGAAAACAACACAGTAAGATGTTTTGCGAACCAGGAAATTGAATCAAATCATTGGTAATACATCAAGAAAACGTCGTGGTAAGTAACATTTTATTACTATTGTTATGTGATTTTAGTGTTGGGGTTCAGCGTAGACCATTATTTGTTGAATATAAGGTTCTCGTCGCATGCTTAATCTTGAAACTTTCATTGCGGGCAGACAGCCATTGCGACCAGACAGCCATTGCGACCAACATGACTCAAGAGAATTGCCAATATTTTCGCTTAAGGAAGTAAAAACGGTGCAAAGACACCTTTTGACAACAAATATTGTCAAAATTCGATCTGCAGGAGGAAAATCGTCGTTTTGGAAAGAGATTTGCCAAAATTTCGTTTGTGTATATATGACCAAAATTATTCGATGCGGCTATCAATACTAACTATAGGCTACATGAAGCATGATTATAACAAATAGTGGCCTGAAATTCTGAACAATACATTACTTGAAGGATCTAACTTCCTGAAATATATAAAGTACTTCGACATCTTGGGCGAAAGCCTTTCGTCTGAAAGTTTATGAGTGTTTAAAACCATACCGAAATAGAAACGAATTATGTTTTGTGACTTTAATATGTATATGTTATATATTGACTACATATAGAAAGTGGAATAGACCAACCCACCACTATGGATATTGCTATCGTGTATTATGTTTTCTTGAAGCATTTCTGAACAGAAAGGCTTTATGGGAATTTTTAGTTGACGAGAGCTGTCCAGCTAGTGTATGCCATGCATAGCAACAGCACACTAGGGAATAAAACATCGTTCGAGCGCGGTTGAATGAAAGATGACAAAGTGTTTTTAATTAATCGTAATGTTTCTTGCATTTTCAAATACTTGATAAGAGTTGATAAATTACGTATGTATCTATTTAGCGACATTCAAAATCCAGTTCTAGGAAACATGCAATGTTTCTAATCACACCAGATCAAGCTTACCATATCCGTTGTGTGCTTCGCAGTTTTCAGTTTGTCATATATATGTAATATGATATGTATTATATAGATTATATATGTTGCTGAGAATGCTATTGAAATGTTTTTAAACTTGCAAGCTTCAAGTCTTAATGTTAGGGAAGATTTATATTCAAATTGTAATGGTTAGTGTACATTAAAGATTAAGGCAGCTGTCATAGACAATATCCTGTGTGGGAAATTCTTGTCTGCCTGAATATACTAAAGAATTCCTCAAAGATACTGCAGACACCATTCTAACAGACACCATTCTGAGTACAAACCAGGGAACACACAACAATTTTATGATTGTAGGGGAGGCTGGTTGAGAAGGAATAAGTTTGCAGCAAGCCTTCCCAAGGAGGTGTGGGGCATGCCCCCAGAAAATTACAAGCCTAGAAAGTGCATTTCCAGCTATTACCCAAAATAATTTTGTTTAATTAAAATAACCATGTGTACCGTATATTGACTGATGATAGGCAGATACTGTATTTCTGTGAAACACATGTCTAATTGTGACAATTAGTGTAGATTCTTTTTCTTAATTTTATGATAATGTTTAGGGGTGGTCCATTTGACTTTTGAGAGGGGGGTGGGGTGGAAGATTCAGTCTGTGCAAGAAATTTTTTTCCGCCCAGGCGAACAAGACAGATATTTTTTTCCTGTAAAAGTGCAGCGCAAGATATTTTTTTCCCAATATATTTGGCGGCAGGATATTTTTTTTTGCCTCTCATAATAACGGCTTACAGTAACTTAAGGCTTTCATATAGCTATCATCAGAGACGTAG